TTTTTTATATATATAAAAGACTGTTTTTCTAAGTAATCTAGAATCTAGCTGCAAGGACCCGCTTCGCTGGGCAAAAAGTAACGATAGTAAAGATTAAGATAATTACATTATAGCCAATCTTACCCGTTTTCACAGAATGCAAGAATTTGGTCCCTGTCTCCAGACTAATTAGAGAATTTTTACGTCTAGTCAAACGAACTATTTTCAATTTGATAAATTTTCTGGAACGTTCACAATCGTTCTATAATTGAATCAATTCGAATTTAAAACGGTTCGAACATTTTTAAAATCGAAATAGAAAATCTTCCACTTTCAACCACTTTCAAGCCCATATCTCCTGCACCCTTATAGCTATCGAGACGCAACCACCATAGTGCACGAATGGAGACTTGGGGCTACCACCACATACAAACACCATTCATGTGCGATGTGTAGTTTTGGCTGAAAAGTGAAATATAGGGACACACACGTCCATTTATAGATATAGATATAGATATAGATAAAAAGAGAGAGAGAGGGTTTTTCTGCTGAAGAATACTATATTTTCAATTATAGGATTTTGCCGGCTGGCAATACTTTATTTGCTACTGGTAATTGCTAAAGAATTAAATCTTGATTCAACTATTATAAAACAAATTGATAAAAGGCATTATCTACTTTGTTAATATTAGTGTAATAATTCTTGTAACATTGAAGAATTTTAACAATGATTTTGATAATATTTAATTTAGTAATATTTAATTTTTTTGTGTAGATGTTAAACCCGAAAACATTTCCTTTGAAAGCACTCGACTATCACCCATACCCGGACCTTCTCAACAGCAAAAGGATAAAAGTAATTCGGTCGTATCTTATCTCGATAATTCTATGGTACCAGCAATTCCCGGACCAAGTAATTATCAATCTGAAAATTCCCAAGTTAGTTTTCAGCAACAGCATGGACAAGGTAATTATATTGTTTAACTTTTCCTAACAAATAAATTTTTATAAATGATTGTTTTTTAAATCTGATGCATTGCTTTTGTGTTAATATTGATCTGATAAAGAAAAAGTTTTCAATGAATTTCCTTAAATAAAATTTTTGTAGAAACATGTTATGAACTTTAACTGTCCAAATAACTGACAAAATTCATATTTAGTGTGAAATTGAAAGAAATATATATGAACTATTTTTATTTACAGAACAGGTTTAGGCTTTTTGAGTTTGATATCATGGAAAAATGTTTAAATGAATTCATGAAAATTAATATAATATTCAAAAACAATAAAAAAATGTAACTTTTTATATATTTACATTAAATAAATCAAGAATGTGCATTCTAATAATTAAATGTTATTCTTATAATTATAATAATATACTTTTAGTATTACTTAAATGTGCAACTATTTTGAATGATGATGATGATGCTTTTCTTGTCCATTTGGTTATCTTATCTACTAGCCTAACTCTTGGAATTTGCAATGATGATATATATATTTCATCAAAATCTATTGCAAAATTTGAATTATTTTCTTAAAATTTATAAAATATATTTATTCATATAATGTATTTCCTTTCATGTAAAAATATTTTTGATGTTTGTTAATAATCTTTTTAAACTGAAAACATTACAAAAAATTGATGGTTTTTTTGCATGTTTCTGTTAAGCTATTAGAGAAAATCATTTTAAATTACTGCACTCTCCTTTATATTAAAACATTAAATTCTTTAGTGAGTTAAAACTTTTGATAATCAAAATCTTAAAAGTTATCTTATTAAGCAAATTAATAGCAAAATAAAATTAAGTGTTATCAGTAAGAAAGTAATTTAAGATTATATTGATAATGACATTTAAGTATTTAAATTTACCAATAAGAGAATTTATAATATGTAATTATTCAAATGTAAGAGATGATGACAATGTGTAGTAATAATTTCTATTCAGGTATACAATTAGATTAATTTATATAAGAAACTTGATTCAAACAAAAAAGAAAAATAAAAAATAGAATGAATTATTAAATTTAAAACATGAAATGAAAATTTGTAATTTTATTGGAAGAATTATAAATTTTCAGTATTCTAATATCAAAGTAAAATTAACATGATAATGAACAACAATACTTAAAAACTTGAAAAATCATAAATATATATAATAATAAGAAAGCACAATTAACTTCTGTTAGAATAAAAATTGAATTATAGCTTTAAAAAGATTATTCTTTTGAGCAAAAATAAAACTATTTATTGTAAAGATGATCACATTGTACTTGATTTATGTATGTAATAGTTAAATAATCAATCATATTTGACTAATAAGGTATTAGGAATAATGACAACTGATAATTTTCATGCTGCGTTTTTTGCAGTTTGCTAGAAATTCATAATTATTGCAATTAAGTCATTTATAATTAATCAAAAATCATTAATTATAATTTAATTTAAGTTGTAGACAAAATATGATATGACTTTGATCGAGGATGTTGGAAAATTTTTTGAGATGTACTATTTGAAAATGGTCTATTAGATAGATTTGATTATGATATAATCAAAAATCATTGTAGTTATTATGTTTGTAACTTTGCCATATATCTTTAAAGTACAGTAGCTCCTTGTTATATCACACCTCATTACATTGCTCCTTATTAATATACATATGCTTCTTTTGTCTTCCGAATAAAAAAGCAGTTTAGCCAATAACATTTTAAAAATTGGTTGTCAGTAGAAATTAGTTGAATTTTTACTGACAAATGAATATTCCAATATTTCAGTAATTGACTTTGAAACTACCAATGTGTGAAATATGACCCAAAAAAGAAAAGAAAAAGCTGCTATGGAGATTTAAAATAGGAAAAAAATAGTTAGATAAATACATCAGTTATATCACACTCATTAATACGGTGTTTTTCAACCTGTGGGTCGCGACCACCAAGTGGGTCGCAAAGCCATACACAGGGAGTCATGGGTAAAAGAAAAAGACAAATGTTTATAGGTCCTACAATTTCAGTGAGAAGGCTGTGCCTGTTTATTTTACAGTACAATTAGTTTTTTGATCGATATTTAAATCTCAACAGAAAGAAAATTAAATACGTAGTTTTTAAAATCACTGACATAGTTTTAATATGGCCGTGGGGGTTGCCAAAATTTTTTAACTTGTAAAGGGGTCGCATATTCAAGAAGGTTGAAAAACACTGCTCTAATATGTTGCTCATTTGGTTTGTCTCAGACCTACACTATATAATGAGGGGCTACCGTATTTAACACTATCAATAACTTTTATTAACAGTATTAGTAATGATGATTGGTAATGATTAATCTTGATGCAGCTTCCATTGTAATTTTGTATTTGTTATACACAAGAGTGCAAGTGTTTGAATTGTTTTACAGGCACATTGTAAGAAATGATACTTTAAAGTTATATCAGCTTAACTATTTTGTGATTATTTTTTAATGTTTAAATTAATAATTATATAATTAATAAATTAAATATTCAAGACATTTTTAAGAATTATAATTATTATTATTATTTATTATATCTTATTAATAATTGATGGATAAACATAAAAGATTCACATTTAATAATTTAAATAAATAAATCTTTACACTGTTTTATAATTTGTAACTTTTAAATGTTGTTGAAATATAAGCTGTATATCAGTAATTAAAAATAAATAAGTCGTATAGATGTAATATTATACATAAGTTATGGAAAGATTTTGTTCTTATATGACAAATGATTAAAAAAAACTTTGATCCAAAAATATACATGCTATAAATAGTTTACCTATTTAAATGTTGTTAAAGTCAAATGCTTTTTTGTTATTTTTATTAATAACAAAACACATTTGATTTTTTATATTTATAATAATTTTTATAACTTTTATAGTTTTTTTTAAACAAATACTAGCTATGGTTTTCTTCATAAGTGTATTGTAACATTGGGTCTGATGTAAGGATTTGGTGATATGTTTAAATTCGGTCCCATCAATCAACATTAAAAATATTTGGATATAAGCAAGGCTATGAAGAGCTTCTATGGGACTGAGGGTACAGTGATCTGCTTTTGCTTCTTAATGAATTCCTTTAGCTACTTTTTTCTTTGAAGAAATGAAATGTGTAGAATGTCTATTAATAAAAAGCAGTGTTAAAAATTTTATTTTCTGTTAGCAAAAATAACATTAATTTTACAGTAGGATTTACTGTGGGACACTCAAGTTTTCTTTGGGACCAGGGAAAAATTCCCAGCTCCCCTTATCAACAGCCCTGGCTATAAGCAGTTGTAATTATAACTGCATCTCTTAGTACTCTCTGAACAGAAAGAGGGCTATATATGCTATCTTCTCTAAAAAATGAGAAAGAAAATTATATCTGCTTGTAGCTAAATATAACAATAGCAAAATCAATTCAAAATGTAATATAAAATAGAAGCATTTATTTATTGATTAAATTGAGAATAATTTCTACACACACGATATATTGGAGTTATACAAGGGTTCTTAAGTGGATATTGCACAGCAACTCCAATCTGTAGAGTTTGTATTTGAAAATAATTAATTCTAATTCAGTTGAAATGTACTCTAGTGACAGTTTCTGTTTTTAACTGATAAAATTATATAATTATTTAATTCTCTAGATCAGTGTTTTTCAATTGCTGGTCCATGGACTGGTGCCAGTCTGTGGAAATAATTTGACCATACTTACACACTGTGTAGTTGATTAAGAGTAACTATCTGTACTTTTTTATATACAATAATTCTGGATAAGCATATATAAACTTAATAAATAAGTGTAATTCATAATCTCATGTAATTATTGGTCCACAAAAAATTATTCATAATTTTACCAGTCCACGATGAGAAAAAAGGTTGAAAAACACTGCTATAGGCACTGTATGTATGTATGGGATGGTTCAAAAGTTGCTATTCATAGATAAAGATTCACTTTTTTATTTTAAAATTCATCTAAGTGGACATCAGAATTATTGAATAGTCCTAAAAATTCAATTTTTTGGTGTAAATAACATAAGTTTAGCACACATTTGTATAACTCATACAGTGCTAGACAAAAACATAAGTTCAAGTAATGTTTTTAGACTGTAAATGAATAAATTGTTTAAATGAGATGGTAACATGCAAAAATAATGGATTATATCTATCATTTTAATATGTTAAATAGTTTTAACTCAAATTATTTGAAAACAAAATAACAAAAAAAAAACCAAAGTTTTACAGAAACAAAATTATAAGTTCAGTATTAATTTCATGAACAATCATGGGAGAAAATATGCAAGTGAAGTTATATCAAACATTTACATAGAGCATACAAAGAGATACATTACTTGTAATAATTATTGAGAGAACAGGAAATATGCCACATGGATTCCAACTTACAGAACCTGAAATTAGACAAATTTGGAGACTTCATGGTGCAACCCAGAAAGAAATTACTACTGCAATTGGCTATTCTCAACATGTTATAGCTAATGTTAAAAAATGTGGAATTGATGGGGGTCACTAAAAATCATTCTGGAAGAAAAAATTTTTCATAATCTTGTGATGAAAGACAAATTTGTTTATTTGAAACTCTTAAGTTGTCATCAAGTAAAATCAAAGGTGCTACTGGACTTTCCTCTTCAACTCAGGCTGTTTCTTGAGTTTTGCAATCCAACAAAATACTTAAATACACAAAACTAATGAGGAAATCACTGTTAACAAAGAAACATAAAAATGCTCATTTGACTATAACAAGAAAGACCATCACTTGGATCCATTGGTGATATAGTATACTATTTTCAAATTAAAAAAAAGTTTAACTTTGATGGACCTGATAGTTGTCAAAAGTATTGCCATGACTTAAGAGCTGAAGGTAATGGGCAAATAACTCAACAAATGGATAGAGTCTCTGTGATGATTTGGGCTACATTCTCAGCTCAGATGATTTGGGCTACATTCTCAGCTCAAGGAAAG